AATGCTTCTGATTCCTTGTTTGTGCTGGAACTCTTACATCCAGGTGTTCTTACTAGAGACGAAATGACAGGTCTTTTTCTGAAGTCTCCTTCATTCCCCACTGCAGACCCACACTGCAGCATTCATGTGCTTCTCATCCCCATCTGAAACAGAAGACACTCGGACTACTCTTCTGTGAAATTGTTTGAAAAATCTGTTTAGAACATGCAAATCCAGTTGCTTGGAAAGACCTGCTTGAATAGGCAATCTTTCCTTGGGGGCAACAATTACACTTGTGAAGTGGAACTTGTGAAGTGAATCAGGTAGAAATTCGTCATCAGTACCTCATACATTTACTGCTGTGTGTTCATGCAACAAACACACATGAAATCCTGTGAGAGCAGTCTGATCACTGTTTTCTCACTTCCAATCGTGACATCGGCATTTGTGGCTAAGGAAGCAGATGACACAGGTGAGATAACATCCAGTGCCAGGCCTTGCATCAGCAGCCAGCTTTGTCATGTAAGACTTTCCAGGCTAATCCCTGGGGGCTGGGAGATCTAACTCTTGTGACTGGACACTCCACAGACAAATGGATTTCCTGCCATAAAGATGTGAGATGCCGTATCAAATAAGATCCAGCATCCATACAAAGCTGTATTCCTCTTTGTCTTCAGAAAATACTCTCATTCAAACATACAAACAAATGTAAAGCTTTAGAAAAAGAAACAAAGGAATCATTTACAGCGTCTCCTCAGGCAAATAATCATGAATATGGTGGGGACCATCATAAATAAAAGTAAGGCTTGTAATGAAGAGTTCAAGATGCTATGGCCTTTTGCTTCAGGGCTTTAGTAGGTCAGCAGAGGACGTTTTTTCTTATAGAGCAAGTTCTCATGAACAAAGTGTACACGACACACCGCAGGAAAAATCAACAGTGAATGACAGGGCTGGTGGGAGTGGGTAGGGGTGGCAAAGGAGTTTCCAGAAGATCAATCTGGTTTTCATTTTCTATAAGCTGAACGGGCCAAAGCAGCTCAAATTAAAGAGTAGAAAACATGCTCAGATTATGTCTGAACTGCTTGGTAACCAGACAAAATACGAAACAAAACAAAAGCTATAGCACTGCAGTAAAAGATTGCTTGCAGAGTTCAGTAAAAAAGTCCATTCAGCAAGTTATGTATGCTCACAGGAATCTGTGAAACTGTGTTCCCAAATAAACTTTATAGACACATAAAAACCTCCCAGATACTCAGGAGAGATTTGAATAATGAAATCCACATGCAGCTTAGGTGCTCAAAAAATGTTTTGGGAGTACCAAAAACAGGAGAAGAAGAAACTGGAAAGCAATCCTAAGCAAGTTCTGCTGGTCACTTCCCAGCAAACAAATTTTGATCTTTAAAAAGCCAACAAAAACCACAGATACTTGTAAACTGGCTTTGCAAGAGAGAGCTGTTTGTACTTGGATTTCCAGCTGCGTGACCCTACTGTTTCGTCCAGACACTTCTGATGTTCCATATGATGGAAGCCTATTGTACAAACATACAGAGAAGGAAACAGTCCAGATGGGAAAGCTAAAACCTGCTAATATTTGGGATCATCACTAGCAAGCTGAAACTCTGTGGAAGTCAGGCCATTTCTTCACTCAGTGCAGGCAAGGAGGCTTGTGCAGAAGACTTGCGTAGTGATCTTTACAAAACTAACAAAGCAAGAAAAATCCCTTCCCTCTTTGATGCAAAAACTTAGAGTAAAAAAGATATTTTTAATTAAGTTTCTGAATGAACCATTGCTACCACTAGGATCGGCCGTTCCGAGCTCTGTTATGGTCCAAACACACACTCTGTTTTGGATGGTATGCAAACAGCAGCGCCTTTCTCCACCTCACTGGTTCAGGATTAGTCTCCTCTTGTGAGCTCTGTGAAGGGAAATTTCCAAGAGCCCTTGTTTGCCAGGATCTCAGAAGCAGGATGCTTGTAAATTTTACTTTACTGCCTACTCATAAGGGGAGACCGTGAGGGCACAGCAGGGAGGGTGTAGGAGAACACAGGGAAAAGTATCACAAATACTGCAGCCAGAGGGAAAACTGAGCACTGGGTTTGTTGTTATAGGGTCCCAACCAGGGAGCAGTTTATTTTTCCAAACAAATCTGCTTCGCAGACATCCTTTCTTCTTCCCCATTCAAGTTTCAACCAGGAAACCTGGAATAAGTTACGGTTGATTTTAGAGGCAAATCAAAGCATTCAGCCTACTGAGCTCGCATTTAAAGTTAGCCTTTATGAGGAACTCCTTGGGGCCCTTGTATTCAAACTGTGAAGTCTGAGATTCACCTGAAATGCCCACACATATGGATCTGTAATGAGGCAGGAAGACAAGGAAACGGGCAGATTGGTCTTCAAGCCTCAGTTCTAGCAGCAGAGGCTCCATATTTCAAATCAAAATTAGAAAACAACAACAACAACAACAAAACAAAACTTTAATAAAACCATAAACAGTCGTTCCAGACATGTACTTACTAACTACCCAAGACCAGGACAGAGCTGGATTTAAGCAGAATGAATGGGTTGGGTGTCCAGCAGGCACACCACTTTGGAAAGGCTGAGCAATTGTCTTTCTTGGATTTGGATTAGGCTGGAATTTCAGAGGCATTTTATCCCAGATCTCTTGTATTCAGGAAGCTTTCTTTATTGGCATCCTGACACTCAACCCTTGTTAGTAGTCCTGCTACCACTTACCAGGATCATGAAACAGAAGCACAATGGAAATGGATTAGTAAGAAGGCCAGTGAAATTCCACAAGTCCCTTCTTCAGGCCTGACAGTAGTTCTGACTGGAGGCTCTTACCAGCCCATTTTGTTGAGGTAGTTTGATGTTACAACCTGGCTGCCAGTATAAAGAAATGAGAATAAAATAGTGGATGAAACTGAGATAGCACAGCAGGTTATGGCTTGCATGTGGCAAATTTGCTTTTGTTTTACCCACTTTGAACACCACCCACCCCTGCTTATACTGAAGCATAATGGTGCTGTCTGTACTCCCCCAGGACCAAGAATTTCATATAATTTAATAGTTTCTGTAATTAGATATTTGTGAAACTGAAATGCTGTGATGAAAGGTGCTGTAAAACTATTACCAACTTTTTCGCCATGAAAGGACTCCTCCCAGCCCGAAATACAGATGTTGTCCTCAGTGCACATCATTACTAATCCAAATCAGCAGTACTTATGGCCTGATTTAAATCCTCCTGAAGTCCAAGATGAGTTCTGTGGGTCTGAGTAGGGCCTCAGGAATTTTCAAATGGAAATTAAGTCAAATTAACCTTTTCTTCTCTCAAAATTAAGACCTCCTTTTCCTTGGTAATGACAGGAGCAAGATTGTTTGAAGTATAACACCAAGTGCTGCCGAGAGCTGTGTGAGGAATTACCATATTCTTACATCAAGTCAAGGACTTCTCTTGACTGCTGGATAATCGTTCCATGTATTAATGCAACAGTCTGCAGTGCCCCATCCCACCCCGCCCTCCTCCTGCCATGGGTTTCTACAAGAGGATTCTATTTTACATTTAGTATTCCTCGTTCCCAAGGGATGACCTAAAACGTCTTAAACACAGCTGATACAGTCATCTACGTCTAGCCATCAGGCCGCTCATGGATTGTTTAATGTTGATGGACCTGAAATACCAGCGCACATATCTAAACTGACCCAGTAATAACAACGTGATGGGAGGGCAGAGCTGCTGTGCCAGACGTGCCATTTCTCTAGCTCTGCTGCTGCTGAGTAGCAGCTCTGGTACCAAACACACCACGCATTCTTTAAGAAGAGGAAGTAGGAAGAACATTCCACCATCATTCCTGTACTCAAAGAAGCAAATGAAGAAGGAGAGTAATTGTTTGCTGGTTACTGCAGGAAAGATTGTTTGCTGGGTCTTTTTAAACCAGTACAACAGGCTTGTTTGCTTCAAGCTACTTAGATATTAAAGAAACAAAAATGATTTAGCTTTTTCATCTCGGGGATTGCCAGCATCTCTAGAGCAGCAGCACTCTTTCACCTTCTTCAGCACAAATGTTACCCACACCCCTCCAGAAGTCCTCTGCCACTGGCTTCCTTCTCTTACCTCGATGGCATCCCCCATCGCCAGCCCCAGCAAACAAGAGAACCGTGGTTCAGCCACACAAAGAGAGAGCCCCACGTGCTGTGCTGGACTCGAGGCCAGCCTCATCCATCTTCTCTACTCTCAGTTTCTTCAGTGTTTCAGTAATTAGGATATTCAGGACTGAAACACTGCGGACATTATTGCTGCTTAGCATGAAGTTAACAAGAGAGCCAGATTTACAACATTCTGGCCAGACAGAGAATTAAAAAAAGTTACGAATGATTGCCCAGTTGCAGGGATACATACTGCAGGATCTTATTTTGCCAGAAACTCCACATGAACTTTAGCCTCCAGGAGAAATCCGCCTGCATTTTTCTAACTGACATACCAGTCAGACCAGTGGCAGAACGCAAAAGAACACGCATGAAAAATTAAGGTTCAGTGACCCAAATCAATTATGTGTTAAGGGCACTGCTCTGGACTCAGTAGGAAATATTTGAAACAGGAATAAAGAACTAAATGGAATCATTCATTGAACTGACCTGGAAATAAGACAGAAATTTGGTAAATAAGTTCAGCGCAAGCCAGATTCATTTAGTGATGGTAGTGGATTAAAAAAAAAATTTAAATGGGGGCAGGGGAGAAAGAAATGAATTTCTTAGACTTGAGTAATGTTTCAGACTTCTATGAACAGTGCAGTAAAACAAAGCAGTTCTCACAGCTTCCTTGCACGCAGGTGATGTAATGCAGTTTACTTCCAGAAATAAAGTTATATTTAAAAAAAAGCAGTTTATAGAAATCCTGAATCCGTATCTTTATCGAAACAGGACAACCTACAGCTCTTCTGTATCAAACAAAAGCAATCATGTAAAGCAAGAATATCTTCTAAGGATGAGGACCAGGTACTGCAGCTGTGCATTTTTGTTTTTAAGCACACAGGCACGAGGTGGGGAGAAACGACTCCACTGCTTCAGGACATCAGGACAGAACTGCTTCCCACACTGCCTGAACTCCAAGCCCTGCTCGCAGTACCTAGCTGCCAAGGTATGTTGTAAATGCAATAGGAAGAAGCTACAGCAATTCATCAAGGTCTAAAGAAAATAGGAAAGACCTATCACTTTTCTTCTCCAAAAGCACAGAATACTTTTACAAACAGTGATGAGATTAATAGACAATGAGCTTCTTGCCAACAAAACTTTCAAATTCTTTGAAGGTCCCTTATTTGTCTTGACTGGTTCAGATTCTTGGGACAGAAACACAGTGCTCTGTAGAGACCTATGAAGTAAAACCTACCTGGAGCTACAAACCCTGCTCATGTGCCATGAAATAACCCCTACACCTGGCAGCTGGGATATGAACCAGATGTGTAGCGCATCCGGGCAGGAGCAGGGCTGCTGCCATCAGCACTGAGCTGGCTGAGGGATGGACTTTTCCAGCCCAGCAATTGTTCAGAGAGATTTCATCAAATGCATCTCTTTTGCCTTCACTTTTCTTAAGGCAGAGGTTGACCACAAACGTCCTCAAACCTGCTGTTTGTCGGCTTTCAACACTTGAGTGTCTGCATGCCCTTCCCTCCCCAGTCAGAAGTGCATATTTTGCTGCTCCAGTTGCATAATTCCCTGATTCAGCTGCATGCTTGGTTGGCCTGGCAGGAGCCTGGGACAGTCGTTGAGATTCTGGATACATTGCCAATTGTGCAGTGTGCTTTGTTGATGGGGGCCGTAGAATCTAATAGCTGAAATTTCATACACTTTACTAATCAGGCCACATTCTTTGCTAATTGAGGTGCATATTTTAGTAGTTGATTTTTTTTTGTTTAATCCTTCACTGATCTTGGGAAGGATCCTGCTCCCTCTGAAGCAAACGGGAATTTTGCCACGGTCCTCCCTGGGGCTGAGACTTTCACCAGAAGGTTGGGATCACTGCAGATTTCTTCTCTTGAAAGAAATAACACAGACTTGATGTTTTTTTAAGCCATCAAGTGAGCGGCCGAATGCTAGGTGAAAGATGCCACTGACACAGAGACCTCTTCCACAAGGATTTGATTAAACACATAATATTTTATGGGTATACAGAGACCTGGAAGTTTGACTATGTGTTTCTTTCATCAGGCTTCCATTCTTCCTTCCTGGATCTTCCTCCTGGATAAACAAGCCACCTGTCCGCACATTTTGTTCCATCTGATACAGACGTACAGGAGGAAACACCATTCACCTTATCTTCAAATTATCTCTCGTTTGCTCTCACTCTGATTCTTATGTTGCTGCAGTCCTTAGTTTGGGGGTTCCAAAGCAGGCTCTGTTTTGCTACAAAACCTATTTCAGCATCCACACAACCCTACAACATCCCCACAGCCTCAGCTCTGACTGGCACAGACCACCTCCCTGGATGCCCAGCTCAGCCCGCCATCCCTCACACACACAGTGCCCGTTCCAAGGAGTCTGCTGTGGTTTTCATACTGCTAATTCCACGCAGGCAGATAATTCATTTCTCATTTTTGCTAAATCGAACCAGATTTGAACAAACCATTTAGAGGATTTTTTCCTAGCATAGCAACACTATCAGAAGGCAGCCAAAACAGATAAAAATAATGAAGCCTACACAGACCTTGACGAGCGAGGAACAAGTACAACTTAATCAAAAGAATAACAAAACCAGGGAGCAAGAGATGTGTGCGTGTGTCTACATGCATGAATTTCACTGTCACATTTAGGCAGATAAGCTATAGAAAATGCCTAGGTTTTATTCTGCAAAAGAAATTGTCCTGCATGTTTAAAGACTACAGGCAGTGTGCAATCACATGAATAGCTGACATGAGAATAAGTCATGCCTGGGAAAGTAAGGGGGAGGCTGCTGCTGCTTCCTTAGGGAGGCACTTCTGCTGTGGTACCCGTGGTCAGTGCTTAACTGGGAAGGTAAATGGTCCTGGCTTCAGAACCAGAGATCAACAGGAGCTGGCTGGGAAAGACAGGAAAAAGACAGATGGAACAAAGTGATGCAGGGTTTGCTGATGCACACGGTGTCACACCGTTGAACTCAAACCCAAAGACACACGACAGCAAATATTTGTTCCGTCTCATGACTGTCCAGGCAAAATTAGAACGAAGCACAGGAAGGATGTAACAACTTCGGGCAGGGAGCAGTTATGCAGTGTAAGTGTGCAGCTGGGTGCGGGAGTTGTTCACCCTCAGAAACAAGCCCGAGGGAAGGGTAAGTTTCCAGGTTACATGTTGCAGTTCTGAGTTAAAAGAGAGACTAAAGACAAAAACCCACAGCCGTACAATTCAATAGATTAAAGCGTGCACCTTTGTGAAGTTGGTACTCAGTACTTCAGAATCAAGATCATGGCTTAAGTAAGAAGTTCTCGGTAGCTATCTTCACGTGAGTGAGATAAAACATCTTCATTTCAGCCACAAAGTCACTGCTGTGCTGGTATGTGCTGTGGCAGGCTGAATCATACCATGCCGCTTTCCCCCCGTAAAGCAATCCCCCACATTTCTTTGATATATTTACACACAACTAAAGAAATACTTTTACAGAATATTATTCTCTTATAGCATCATGGCTCATATTTCATAGATCTGAGTGCTCCAAGAGCCCACAGGATCCCCACGAGGGCAGCGGGTCGGGGCTCTCGCCCTTCTCGCAGCACCCAGCTCCCGTCGCCCCGCAGCCGCCCGGCGCTCCCGGCACCGCTCTGCCCCGCCGCGCTGCTTCCCACTGCCGCCCCCGGCCGCTGCCAGCGCCCGTCCTACGGAGCGCCCGTCCCTGCCGCTACTCACCTGCTCTCGGTACCACAGATGTGCACGAGGCAGGAGAGCAAAGGGAGGGTAACGCGACGGGAGGTGCTTGGGTTGGGTTCCCTGCTCCAAGCTACCCCTCGTTCTGGCCGCCTTTGGGCAAATGCTCCGATTTCTGCCGGGAACGCTGATATATCGATATCCACGGGGCTCGCCCCGCATCCCGCGTCCGCCCGTACCGAATCGGAACGACCCGAGACAAGCTCCCGCAGCCGGCCTTACGGAGCCGGCCGCAGACCCCACCCCGGGCGGGGGCCGAGCGCAGCCCCTCCGCATCCCCGCGTCCCGGTGGATCGCGCCGAGCCCCGCTCCCGGCGCAGCCTCCCGCGCGTCGGGTGTGCCGGCCCCGACCGCCGTCCGCGCCGTGCCGCGCCGTGCCCCGCGTGCCGCCGGGGGCGGGCAGGGGCCGCTCGGGGTTACCTTGCTGCCTCCCGCCCCGCCGAGGCAGAGCGCTGCGGTCGCCGCCAGGATGAGCTCCGCGCCGGTGAAGCTCCGGCCCATGGCGCGGGGCGCTGAGCCGAGCCGAGCCGCGCCGAGCCGCGCCGCTCCGTGCCGTGCCGAGCTTTGCGCTGTCGAGCCGCGCTGTGTCGAGCGGGGCTTTGCGGAGCCGTGCCCTGAGCGGGCGCCGCTGCCAGGGACCCCCCGAGCCCGGCCTCCCCGCCCCTCGCCCCCTCCCCTGGCTGCTCCCGGCCCCTGCCCTCCCCCGGGGGGCACCTGCGGCGCGGGGCGGGGGGACCTGGGCTGGAGGGGAGCGGGGCTCGCGGGGTTTTGTCTTTTCCGTACTTGGAAAGCGCCGGACTGCAGGCGGCGCGGCCTCGCGGGCAGCGGCTGGAGCGGCTCCGGGGGAAAGTTCCTCCTGCGGGGAGATGGGGGCGATGGGGGCCGCGTGCTGGCGGCGGTCAGGGCCGTGCCCCGGAGCTCGGGCAGGGTCAGAGGAAGGGGAAAGGGGAAAAGTGCCCGAGCCTTTCCCGGGGGGAAAAATCGCCCCGGGTTCGCGTGAGCAAGGAGCGGAGGGAAGGAGTGCCGCCGTGCATCCCAGGGAGCCCAAAGAGAGGGAGCTGCGCAAAAAACACTAATCTGCGTTCCTCAGCCGCGTAACCTCTGTGGAGGTGATGGGAGGGCAGGGACACTCCTTATTCCGTGGCATTTGGTGGGTTGCCAGCTGAAAAGCTCTCTCATCCCCGTCCTGTAATGGCACCTGGCAGACCCACAGCCCCAGCGCTGAGGACTCGCAGGTGGCAGCGAACGCCGATTGCTAGCTGCAGTTAGTTCTCATATTCTGCAGAAGTTGTTGCAATAATTTAGCATAGAAGTAGAATTTGAAGTCAAAAAATTGTGGTTTTACAAATGACAGTTGCTTTATGCTTGGATCTTTATGGAGCTCAACTGCATGCACACCCATGAAGCAGCATGCAGACTCAAGCCTGCTCAAGCAGGTGGGTGCGGGTTTGGCACACCTTGCCCAGAAACCTCCTGTGCTGGCCCCGGTTGGCCTTAGGGGCACTGGCATGGCATGTCCCAAAGTCCTCCTTCCCAAAAGCAGGCATTCACCTGGCTTTTGAGGGACAGTAACTAAAAATCCCCACATAACACCTTCAGTTGGCTGATGAGCCCAAGGCTTGGAAGGGGATCAGGAATGGGATGCTGGTGCTGTGTTGCTGTGTGTGCTCACCCCCTTCTGCACCAGCCCCTCCCCAGGGAGACTTGTGTTTGCTCTAAGCAGGGTGCACGAGCAATATCTTGGTAGCTTAATAGGATTGTTTTTCCTCCTTGCACTGAGGGCAGAAGAAGATGCAAATAATTCTTTGTGTGGTCAATTCTTATTTTACTCTTTTCTTCCCAGGGCAAATGTTGTGTATGTGGTGTTCCCAGGCTATGACCCTGTCAGTTATTTGCCGTGATTGCTCGTGTTCAAATTTGCATTTTGCTCCTCCTGTGTAATATTTCTTTGAGTTCCCTGTCAACCGAAACGGCACATACAAGTGCATGATGGCTGTTCTGAACAGCAGAGAGCAAAGGGATTTTTCCCAGCAGAACGCTTCTGCCTGAAGGGCAGTCTGGGCTCTGTGGCACAGCGCTGTGCTGCACTGCTGTTCTTAACACCGGCAGTTAAACCTCAGGGCAATGTCACCATAAATGCATGTTAAGCTTTGAAAAATCCCCGAAACGAGGAATCTTTTCCCACATGAGGCTCAGTGTGACAGAAGTAAATATAGAGATTCCTTCTGCTCTTTCCTTATGTTATTGCAGTCTTTGAGGGCATAAGGGCTAGCTGGCAGGAAAGGGTATTCAAAAAGTGGGTTTTATTGTCACTTGGGCAGGCCTGGAACAACAGTATAGGAAATACCTAAATGAAAGAAAGAGAATGTGCTCAAGTCTGGCACTGCAGCGCCCTTTTTAAGGACCTTACATCCCTGTTATTTGGATTCTTTTCCAGGGGTCATCTGAGTGCAGGCACCCGTAATCCTTCTGAGGCAAGCAGGCAGTGCTCTGGGCTGTGCTGCTGCTCCAAGCTGCAGACCTTGAAGTGCAGCACAGACACAAATGTACGTGGGTTTCTTGTGTTTGTTTACTCAGTTCTTGGCCCAGCCATTTCTGTCTGTATGTCTGTGCAGACCTCAGCATCCTTCTGCCAGCAGGACCTGCCTGCACAACACTGCATCACTCTGGCTTAGCAATAACTTAGCATGCAGAATGAAGGACCAAACTGAGAGCAGACCGCTCAGAAGGATTTCCAGCTCAGAGCAGTGACCCCCCTTCCCCCAGGCTATAGCTTTTACGGAAATTCTGCTCTGTATTTGTGAGCTCTTTCTGTTGGGGGGACACTGCATGGCATGGACAGCTTCCTGCTTGAGGGAGCACATGAGACAAGGACCAAAAGATGTCTGGTTGCCTGCTGAAGGTGTCAGGCACGAGGCCAGGCACACGGCAGAGCACTGAGCCCAGCAGAAGCACTCCCACCACCCTCCCAGGGAACATCTGGCTGCTGAGCCAACTTCCACAGCCAGTGTCTGGAGGACAGCTGTGCCAGGCAGCTGGGATAGAGCAGAGAGGTTTACTGGAGGGATCAAGACAGGGCAGAATGGTGAATGGGACTTTGCTTTCTGCCCACTCTTTATTCCCCATCCAGTGTTTTCCTACAGCCTCACCTTGCACATTGCTGCTGCAAAGCCCAGCTGCTCATCTCCACCATGCATTGTAGGGTGCATGTCCCTTAGCAAGCAAGATGGAGCTTCTTCCACATCTGTTGAGATATCCTACAGGAAACAAGTGTCCTGCTTTTTGTGCTGAGCATCCCATGAAAGAATTCCAGGCTTCCACACTCCTTTAGTGAGTCCTTCCAAGGACTGGCCCATGTTGCCTGCTGCACAGTGCTGTCCAGGGGCTCTTGGAGTCCCTGAGGGAAGCACTACAGTGCAGTAGAACAGTAGCACTTATGAGTTAGTGGGTGCAATTTCAACATTTTCTTAACCAGGAACCCCAGGCTGGGAAAGTAACTTCCAGGAAAGAAAAACAAAAACTTCTTTCTTTCAGGCTGACAGAAAAATCATTTATTGTGTAAAACCTAAGCTTAAAACCACTAAAAAACAGTCATTTCCTTCCCCTCCCTCCACACGCACAACACGTGAATTGATACATGGAAAAAGAACTTTCTGAATTAGTTTCCTTAAATACATAAGGTGTCCTGACAGCAGAACTAACCCTTGTGACCCAGGGACACAACATTGTAATATGCCTTGGAAATTAATGAGCTCTTAGAAGTTTGTTTTTCAGAACAGCTGCTTTGACCAAAGGGAATGCAGCTTTAAACAGGAGGAGGGCATTGGCAAGAGACTTTCAATAACAAGGCCTTAAATCTTAGTTTATTCTGATTGCAAGAGTCCCCATCTGCAAACCTTTCAGTTACACAACACTGCTTTTTATATTTTCACAGTCTTCTTTCGTGTAGGATAGAGGTTGGTTAAATTCTGAGTGAAGCTGTTACATCAGACAAGCCACAGTTCCATCAGAGTCTCTCTTCTGTTCATAGGAATGGGTCAGGAAAGCAACACTTCAAATCCTTATCGCCGTTAAAATAGACACGCTAAAATTATTTAGGCAGTGGCATGTAAACGTTACACGCATATAAATAACAGATCAGTAAATAAAATACAAAAATAAAATATTAAGGCAGCCCTTCCTAAAGCCCATTGCCGAAGAGCTGGCAGCAGCCACATGTTCTGTGTTTAACACAAAGCCATTTTTTGCTGGGAGGGAAGAGCTGGATGCCGGAATCTGACTGCAGCCAGCCAGTAATAGAGCTTTTTCTGCATGGTTAGCATAGGTTTCTTTTTTAATGAAGTTTTTGCAGACTGAGTGACACCAAATAATAGAAGGATGTAAGCAGAAAAGCATGCAGTAAGCAGAGGGAATTGGAACGTGGTGCTGTCAGTGGTTAGGGAGTGAGATCTCTGCTGAGGAAATATTTAGAAAAACATGCTTGTAGCTTTCATAGCTGTAACTGGAAAGCGCCACAGCGGCTTTGTGCTGTGCAGAGAGTGCCACCCTCTGCTCCTGCTGAGCACAGAGCCCTTCTCTCCCCCCTCTATCCCTCTTTTGCTACTTCTGAGACATTTGCTCAGAATTTGTACTTGTACAAGCAGCAGCCTTTCCTTGGACTGCTTTCATTCTTCATGACGCCAGGAATAGGCTGAGTTCTGCAGCTCTGT